GAAGTTCGTTCGCTACGCTCACTCACCTTTTGGTTGCAAATTAGCTGTTGTCATGAATGTAAAAGAAATAATAGTGCTGCACCCTGTTGGTAATCTTTTTTAACTTTAATGCTATTGAACATCATAGAACAGAACCAACTTGTTTAATTGAAACAGCTGTTAAGATTCATTAATTCCATTTCTCATAAGGTTAACATGGGAAACTCCAGAGCCACTAGGGCGGAGCCGATTGGATGGATCACGAAATTGATGGTGTATAAACCTATTCCATGACATTCTACACGTATGTAGCAAGTTTCGTGGCAATCGGTTCAGCGGTGTCTGAGTTTATCACTGCCAAACAAACAAATATATATATATATATACAAACATCCTCTTTTATACTTATAGATATTTGTTTGTTTGTCAGTGATAAACTCAGACACCGCTGAACCGATTGCCACGAAACTTGGTACATACGTGTAGAATGTCATGGAATAGGTTTATACACCATCAATTTCGTGATCCGTCCAATCGGCTCCGCCCCAGTGGCTCTGGAGTTTCCCATGTTAACCTTATGAGAAATGGAATTAATGAATCTTAACAGCTGTTTCAACTAAACAAGTTGGTTCTGTTCTATGATGTTCAATAGCATTATAGTTACAAGGATTACCAACAGGGTGCAGCACTATTATTTCTTTGACATTTATGACAACAGCTAATTTGCAACCAAAAGGTGAGTGAGCGTAGCGAACGAACTTCAACCTGGAGGCGATTTAGCGTAGCGAACGAGCTAACCTGAAGGCAAGTGAGCGTAGTGAACGAGCTAACCTGAAGGCAAGTGAGCGCAGCGAACGAGCTCCAACCTAAAGGTGAGTGAGCGTAGCGAACGAGCTCCAACCTAAAGGTGAGTGAGCGTAGCGAACGAACTTCAACCAGGACGTGATTGAGCCATGCGAACGAGATCATCTTGAAAATTAAGAAGTTAAACGGGGCAAAGCCCGCGGGATTATAAATAGTCAAAGGCAAGACAACGTCTGCCGGGTTCAGCTAGTAATGAATAAAAACACGACCATTGTTGCTGTGCTTGCTCTCTGACATTGACAGGAGGGTAGGTTGAAAGTCTGGGTCGATGTCCATTTCGTCGTCCACGTCTGACTCATCATTCTTTAGCACTACCTCCCAAAAACCATCACTCAGATCTCCAAAATCTAGTTCACTTGACATTGCTAAACCCAAAAAACGTTCGATATCTTCATCACCAAGATTTTCACTCATATTGGACAAAAGCCACAATACACTATGAAAACCAACACGAAAACTAGGCTATAAATAGCTAAAAAGTACAACACAAGAAGAAGTAAACATAACACAGTCGAGTAATAAGCAGGTGTTGTTGTCTTCACACGCCAAAATGCCGCTACTGCCAACCAACAAAATGAAATATATCCCAAATGGTCGAATTTCAATGCCACCCCGATCGGGGTGATACTTTTTCCGCCATTTTCTTATAGGTATTTGGACAGATAACATTATAACTAACCTAGATAAGTATAAATAACATCATATAACTAAAATATTACGTGAGCATATAGTTGGCAATACAACAATCCCCCCCGAAAATAGCCTTGGCAGCTAACGTGCTAAAGCTGTGGCAGAAATTTGTAGGGACAAGAGCTCCGAGGAGTCAAGTTAGATTCTTAAGTGCATACAGTAGACCCCCTCTTAACCGACCTCGTATTAACCGATAATCAGATTATCCGCCTCGATCGTAAAATAATACAGTTTGTTTTAACCGACCTTGATTTGAGAGCAGTTCGGTTAAACCACCGCTTTCTAGGAATCTCGGCATTTCCGCTCATATACTGGGCGATGAGAACTGAACCATACGTTTATCTCCACAGGATATGACTAAGAATAAGTTATTTTGTATTGATCACAAAAAATATTGCTTATTGTCAGTTTCTCATCCATTGTTTGTAGTGCGAGCAGATCTGATTTGTTATCTGTGCAGCAAATTTATAACATCGTAAAGTGCATTACGATTTTGAGAACTGATTATCTTATCGCTGGAGTAAACAAACAACACAACTTGTAGGGAGGGCAGGGAAGGGGGGTTAACAACTCCAAGGTCAAGATAGTTTTTGTGCATGGAGCCTCCAGTAAGAGGCTATAAATAAACATCCTGTCTTTTAACAAAATTGTTGCTTGTATCTTTAATTTCAACAAAAGGTTCTGTACTGTATTATGATGGATTTGGAAAGCATCAATTAATACATTACAGTACTAAAGTTATTAAAATAGGAATGTTTATTGACTCTTGCCTAGTACTATAATATATTCCACTGAAAGTGGGCCTATTTGACTTAACCGTGTTTTGTGTTTATTTGTGACTTTTTATCAATACGAAAAAGGAGATAAGAGTAGTTTATTTTATAAATAACTAGCTGTAACAGCAGGCTTTGCCCTGTTTAACTTCATATGTGAGCTCGTTCGCATGGCTCAATCACGTCCTGGTTGAAGTTCGTTCGCTACGCTCACTCACCTTTACAGTTGGAGCTCGTTCGCTGCGCTCAATTGCCTTCAGGTTAGCTCGCTCGCTACGCTACCTCGCCTCCGGGTATAAGTTCGTTCGCTACGCTCACTCACCTTTTGGTTTCAAATTAGCTGTTGTCAAATATTTAAAAAAATAATAGTGCTGCACTCTGTTGGTAATCCTTGTAACTTTAATGCTATTGAACATCATAGAACAGAACCATCTTGTTTAATTGAAACAGCTGTTATGATTCATTAATTCCATTTAAATATGAGTACACATTACGTTAACATGGGAAACTCCAGAGCCACTGGGGGCGGAGCCGGAGAGTCCGATCAGAATAAAAACCACTTAGTTTTCCTATTTAATGCCTAAAGAATCAGTGTACCAAATTTCAGCCTCTTAGGTAAGTGGGAAGTGGGAGAATTAGTGATGAGTGAGTGAGTCAGTCAGTCAGTCAGTCAGTCAGTCAGTCAGTCAGTGAGGGCTTTGCCTTTTATATATATAGATGCAAGTATGACTTCAAAATAATGATTATATAATTCCAATGAATAGCACTTCATTATGTTATGATTTTTAGGGATTGCCCGTTTTAACCGACCTTTTGAGTTATCCGACCTAGGTCCGGTCCCATTAGGGTCGGTTAAGAGGGGTCTACTGTAGTAAGAGACAAAATAAGTGACTTCCCTTGCTACAATGATGCTACCTGTATAGACGTCGCAGCTATTTTAAAGCTGAAAACAGAGCACCACCTGTCCAAATAAATCTTTGTTTTTGTTTCTTTCAAAAACGAATAGTGTCAAATGTGAATCCGTTCTAAGTACGTCATTAAATCCATTCTTATGTTCCAAACCGGAGACTTTGGTTGGGGCACCTAATTTAAACACGCCTAAAATAGAACATATCGTAGGAATAATTTAACAATGCTATAGTATGTGTCGTACTGGTTGGCGTCAAGAGAGGGATTTAGCTTGCTACATTAGGTCTGAAAAGCTCACTTTACAGCACAGCTTTACAGTGTGTGGTTGACATCTACGTTTTCATAGAGGACACCCGCCCACAGTACCGGTACATATTAAGAGATAACCAAAGCAGTATGAGAACGGATCTATATTTAAATATTGTACCATGGATTACTTTTATAATTTTTTACAGAATAATATTTTTACATTTAATTACTTTAGAGTGACTCTATGGTTGAGGTTTTGCTGTTTATGTTTTTTGTTCTTCATTATTTTATTACAAGTTGCAGTTTTGCTCGATTTCGAGCAACAGGCTATCTAGTATCTAGTATCCATAAACAAGTAAACTAGGTACAACAGTTTTCATTTTCTCCATAAGAATAACTTAGAAATTTTAAATTTACACTTTTTTAATTTTCCCCATAACCATTAGGCATACAACAATGATTCAATATACTAAATTATTAATTTTTTAAGCTCTACAAAATGGTTGGGAAAGTAATTTCGAAATGTTTTTAGGGTCAAAATGGGAAAAATCCATTTTTCCCTATAAACCCCCCATAAACCCCCGTTCCCATGGTCCGATCATGATGGTTTGCGAACTCGTTCGAATAAATGTAGGTTTACATGTTTATACAAAATTTCATCAAAATCGGATAATTTCTGTTTAAGTTCAATCAATCAATTATCGTGAGTTATTAGTTATTATTTTTATTATTAGTTATTAGTTATTATCAATAATTAGTGAGTTATCGTGCTAATGGACACACACACATATATGAATTTGAACGGATGGCGTTTTTGGCCTCTGGGGACCTCAAAACAAAAAATTAAATCGGTCCCGGGTCCATGTCTTACCATGAGACCTACGGTAATAGCTTATTCCCTAAATGGGTGGGCCGCTTTAATTATTTCTTTCCCATGTTGTGTGGCAAAATAGGGTTAAGCCTAAGTTGGGTCGCCGGAAGACTGCTCCCCCGGACAACAAACCCCCAAGCAGGTTCCTACGTCATGTTGACGTCAGAGATCGGAGGGATAGTTTTCCAGTCACGGACACTCAAGTTTCGTCGTCATACTGTTCTAAACTAACCTAACCTAACCAACCAAACTTGCTGTAACTTAACATTTCTAAATTCTGTATGATATTCCCTGCATGCCTTTTCTGTTATCAAACAGAATTACTCAAATTAAAATTATAGTTACATAGAGTCACATTTTGCTAGGGGGGGGGGGGTAGTATTCTAGTCACGAACACAGCTTCCATATTGGTTAGTTGGCAGATTTTGTGACGTCACGTTTCACCTGGGGGGGGGGGGTGGTTTTCCGGGTGATAGTATTCCACATCCCCCCCTAAGTTATATAAGTTACATTATTTTTTAGCGTAGGCTAAGTTCAAAATTAATAATTGAACCTATATTATTTAAACTATTGTATTTTTCTTTTAAATTCCAGGTACTAGTACTAAGTTACTGTAGAAATACCTATTTCGTTTTTGGTTTTGTTTAGTTTTATTTTTGTTTCAGATAGTTCAAATGTTCCTCAAAGTATTAGGAAACTCAATGGAGTAATTGACAAAGCCAACCAGCTTTTCTGTCAAGGTATGTAACTTACTTACATTAGGCCTATGCTATACAATGAAGATTGAACGTTGAACCTTGATCCAAGATGTTGCCATAGTCATGAAACATCATCTTTTACAGGGATCATCTCATAACTCCAAGGTTTCATAACTCCAAGTGATCATAACTCCAAAGTTTCATAAGTCCAAGAGATCATAACTCCAAATTATATTTAATCCAAAGTTTCAAAACTACAAGTACCCGAAAAGGGATAATTTCATTACTCCAAGAAAAATATAAGTGCAAGTGATCATAACTCCAAAGTTTCATAAGTCCAAGATATCATAACTCCAAAGTTTCATAAGTCCAAGTAAAAATTAAACCAGAGTGTCATAACTCCAAAAGTTGAGTCGAGTCTCATATCTCCAAGTGGAATGTGTAGTACAGTCAGCGCCACAAGTTCCTGCGCTGTCCGCTCCGCTGTAATACTGTCAGCAGCCTTTGCCGCATCATTGTATCCATATACCTACCGTCGCCTGTCAAACGATTATGTAATTTTGTTATATACTTACATATTAATTAATTGCTATACTTCTTACTTCTATGCTAAAGGTACTTTAACCTTTACCTACTCGCGCGGGTTTTACTAACGTATGTACTCGCGTGGGGTGTTTTTGACACCCCGTTATTACAAATTTGTTATAATTGTATTAACACTAATAATTGGTAAATAACATTTTTTGTTGTTATTTAAGTTTATTAAAACGTTTTTATTAGCTCGCTTTCTTGTCCGGTACAAATTTTGCAATCAATTTTATACTAACTTCCCGATGAGCTAGAGACTTGAAACTTGAAACATAGCCCACAAATGGAAGACAATGCAATATAATATCATTTAATTTTCATATTTCCCTTGGGCTACGCCCCATGGGCTTGTTTTTATTTTACTGTATACTGTTTCCAATATGAAAGAGTTATTTATTTTAAGTTATACAATGTAAATAATTATTTCTTTTACCAACTGCAGTTTGTGTGTGTATTTGGTCAAGATTTGCATATAAACCATTTGTTGTATTAAAAAATATGTATTTTGTCATTGAACTGTTTGATATTGAATAACTAGCATATGTACTACCCGGAAAATATATAATTTTTTAAAAGATTATATTATGTCTGTGAATGGTAAAGGTATTATTTTTCCCTAAAATGTACTACTAAAAAAACAGTTTTTAGGGGGGGGGATCGTAATACACACAAGTTTTGTGCAAACAAATTTATTTATATGTCTAAAACACTTGTTTGTTATCGAAATAAATGTAAATAAAAAATGTCCTTTCATTACTTTTAGAGTCTTTCGCAAAAAGAACAACATTACCTTATACAGGAACTTGTACTTTTTACGAAACGTTAACACTCACGTGGGGAGTTGAAAACACCCTATACTTTGTAATACACATGTATTACCAAGTGAACACTAGAGATCGCACGGGGACTTTGGATGAGAAACGTTCCTGTGTTTCACAGTTTTAACTTTACATTTCAGGTAATTTACACTAAGTGTACAATGCAGTTGTCTGCTTGCAACATTGAGCAGATAGCAGACATAATAATCAAATAATTTCTAAAGTCAATGTTACATATGTTTCTCGTAAATGAAATGTATACTTGCAGTATCCAATCTCATTAGTATATATTTTGTTTCAAATGAATGCAATGTCTAATTTCGTTATTCAAAGTCAATTACAAGTCTGGTTCAATTAAATGTATTGTCTACCTCAAAGTATATATGTGTCATCTGGTTCTCATAAATTAAATGTCTATTTGCAGTAGCAGTATCCTAAATCAATAGTACGCCAGCTTCACAAAAATGAGAAATTTACTTGCAGTATCCAATGTCAATGGTCCATTTGGTTCACATAAATAAGATGCCTATTTGCAGCATTCAAAGTCAATGATAGTCGGGTTCACTTAAACGAATTGTTTACTTGAAGTACACAAACTCAATGGTACATATCGTTCACATAAATAAATTGTCTACTTGCAGGATCCAAAGAAATGGTTAATTTGATTCCCATAGACTGTAACGTGCCCGAATTACACCTGTCTGTTTTCCCCATTTTGTTATATTAAATTGTCCCTCAGTCCCCTTGACTCCCTCAGTCCCCTTGTCGCCTTCCGCTTCCTTACGTCACCTTCCGCTATCCCACGTCGTCTTCCAGACCCTTACCCGACCTTCCCCTAACCTTACGTCTCCTTCCGAAGCCTCACGTCGCCTTCCCAGACCCAGCGTCTCCTTCCGCTACATCCTCCGACCTTCCCCTTACCACACATCTCCTTCCAACACGCCACGTCTCCTTCCGCAGCCTCACGTCGCCTTCCCCGACCCAGCGTCTCCTTCCGCTACATCCTCCGACCTTCCCCTTACCACACGTCTCCTTCTAACACGCCACGTCTCCTTCCGCAGCCTCACGTCGCCGTCCCCGACCCAGCGTCTCCTTCCGCTACATCGTCCGACCTTCCCCTTACCCCACGTCTCCTTCCAACACTCCACGTCTCCTTCCGCAGGCCCACGTCGCCGTCCCCGACCCAGCGTCTCCTTCCGCTACATCCCTCGACCTCCCTCTACCCACACGTCTCCTTCTCCAATCCTACGTCACCTTCTATCGCCCTACGTCGCCCCTGATACCACCGATACCTTTCAGCAGTTTCCATTCCTGTCCAAACCTGACCTAACACCAAACATAACCTCAAAATGTTCCCAAAAATCAATTTCCAATGCAAATAGATTGTCCGATCCTCACCCCTAAAAGTCCAAGACATGACTAACCATTTCAGGACTACTGCGCATGCGCGGACTACCCCCACCAGGCTGACCGGGTTTTCGCATAAAAGGAGGGCTGCTCGGGACATCATTCTCATTCGCTCCCGGGCAGCTGACCAGTACACTTCGATTGTAAGGTAAGCACTCGACCCGATCCTGCTAGAGCAATCTTAGCATACGACCCATTCCTGCTAGAGTAATCTTAGCACACGACCCGTTCCTGCTAGAGAAATCTTAGCACACGACCCATTCCTGCTAGAGCAATCTTAGCACACGACCCGAACCTGCTAGAGAAATCTTAGCACACGACCCATTCCTGCTAGAGCAATCTTAGCACACGACCCGATCCTGCTAGAGCAATCTTAGCACACGACCCGTTCCTGCTAGAGCAATCTTAGCACACGACCCGTTCCTGCTAGAGCAATCTTAGCACACGACCCGATCCTGCTAGAGCAATCTTAGCACACGACCCGATCCTGCTAGAGCAATCTTAGCACACGACCCGTTCCTGCTAGAGAAATCTTAGCACACGACCCGATCCTGCTAGAGCAATCTTAGCACACGACCCATTCCTGCTAGAGCAATCTTAGCAGACGACCCGTTCCTGCTAGAGAAATCTTAGCACACGACCCATTCCTGCTAGAGCAATCTTAGCACACGACCCGTTCCTGCTAGAGAAATCTTAGCACACGACCCGATCCTGCTAGAGCAATCTTAGCACACGACCCGTTCCTGCTAGAGCAATCTTAGCACACGACCCGTTCCTGCTAGAGAAATCTTAGCACACGACCCCGTTCCTGCTAGAGCAATCTTAGCACACGACCCGATCCTGCTAGAGCAATCTTAGCACACGACCCGTTCCTGCTAGAGCAATCTTAGCACACGACCCGCTCCTGCTAGAGCAATCTTAGCACACGACCCGTTCCTGCTAGAGCAATCTTAGCACACGACCCGTTCCTGCTAGAGCAATCTTAGCACACGACCCGTTCCTGCTAGAGCAATCTTAGCACACGACCCGTTCCTGCTAGAGCAATCTTAGCACACGACCCGATCCTGCTAGAGCAATCTTAGCACACGACCCAGTCCTGCTAGAGCAATCTTAGCACACGACCCGATCCTGCTAGAGCAATCTTAGCACACGACCCGTTCCTGCTAGAGCAATCTTAGCACACGACCCGATCCTGCTAGAGCAATCTTAGCACACGACCCGTTCCTGCTAGAGCAATCTTAGCACACGACCCGATCCTGCTAGAGCAATCTTAGCACACGACCCGTTCCTGCTAGAGCAATCTTAGCACACGACCCGATCCTGCTAGAGCAATCTTAGCACACGACCCGTTCCTGCTAGAGCAATCTTAGCACACGACCCGTTCCTGCTAGAGCAATCTTAGCACACGACCCGCTCCTGCTAGAGCAATCTTAGCACACGACCCGTTCCTGCTAGAGCAATCTTAGCACACGACCCGTTCCTGCTAGAGCAATCTTAGCACACGACCCGTTCCTGCTAGAGCAATCTTAGCACACGACCCGTTCCTGCTAGAGCAATCTTAGCACACGACCCGCTCCTGCTAGAGCAATCTTAGCACACGACCCGCTCCTGCTAGAGCAATCTTAGCACACGACCCGTTCCTGCTAGAGCAATCTTAGCACACGACCCTTTCCTGCTAGAGCAATCTTAGCACACGACCCATTCCTGCTAGAGCAATCTTAGCACACGACCCGTTCCTGCTAGAGCAATCTTAGCACACGACCCGTTCCTGCTAGAGCAATCTTAGCACACGACCCAGTCCTGCTAGAGCAATCTTAGCACACGACCCGTTCCTGCTAGAGAAATCTTAGCACTTAACCCGCTCCTGCTAGAGAAATCTTAGCACTTAACCCGCTCCTGCTAGAGTAATCTTAGCATAATCATAGATCCTGTTAGTTCGAAGTTTAGCACTAATTCAGACATCCTTCCAGTTCCTTATCCACAACCTTTCCTTTGTGGCTGTGATGACATTGGCTGTTTGAAAATTGGTGTGCCACGAATCTGAGCCATTCCTTTGCTTCCCGTTGTTTCGACCCCTGGAACAGATACCCAGCAAGCACTGAGCTATCCCGGACCTCACTTGAGAGAGAGAACGTCACAAATTTTGGCGCCCGAACAGGGACTGATACAGCATCAGCATCGACTCCATCGTAACATCGAACGAAGATGATCGAAGAAAACCAAGCGACC